TAGCATAGCTGCTGAGATTTATGATCGAGCTGTCATGAGCTCTTGACATGTGACGATGAGATGCGACGGCATACTGAGGTCTCTCGAACTCGTAATGCGATCTGCGCGAATGACAGCAAACTGGTCGACAGTACTAGGAATTGGTTCGTTTGGAAATGGCTTTTTTCCTCTTTTCTCCTGCATGTCATCATTCACCCGGAAAGCTTTGGTATGATGGCCGACTACCACATCACAGAATACGGCCGCCAAACCATCTTGAAGAAGGTTGCACTGAAAGCACAGGAGCTAGTGGTGAACATGACGTGCTACAAGAAAGGCACCATGTCAGTCCCCGCGAAGGTTCAAGACCATGTCGACAACATTTTGGGCCGGTTCAGAGGGGCTCGGCCGCAGCGGCAGATGGCCAAGCTCCTACCCGCACGATCCATCACATCGCTCAGGGAGACTGTTGAAGTGCATCCCTACCTAGTCATCAGCCCTGCAGATCTGGTCACTCTGGTCAACGCTCTCTTTCCCGAGCGGAGGCCAATGTCAGCCCACTCCAGTGGGCTCAGGTCTGGTGCCCCGTCAATCTCAGGCATGTCTGGCATCTCGCAGCCCATATCGATGGGTGGTTCGCGCAGCAACTTCGAAACGACATCCGTACTTAGTACCAGTGCCTCTTCAGTTGTCAGCGATGCAACGACCTCGCAGGGAACTGCCTTTGATGATCATGGTGCGGGCTCCCCTCAGCGTTACTCGCCGCCAGCCCTGGATTTGGCCGCCCAACAGCGACTCAATGGCTACGAAGACGATGGCTATCGCCTACGCTTCGCCCTTCGGGAGCTGAGTGCCGCTCTTGGCATGGAAACCGTCCAAGGCTCATGCCACCCTTGTGCAGATCGTTGGGCGGTACTATTCATTTCCTCGGACGGCAACAGCTTGTCTACGCAAATGACATACGACCCCGAGGACGAAATCGAGGAAGAAGAGAACTCGTCCACTAGCGATACGGACGATGACGAAGACGATGGAAGACCGGAGCTAGACAAGGACTACCACCAACTTCGCGACTCTGTCTTGAAACTGGTAGAGGATTTTGAGATCCCACAAAGTAACGAGCCAGAAGCAAACCGCGCACAGTTCAGTAACCGGGCCACCGGCATCAAGAGATACCGATCGAAGAACAAGGTAGTTACAACTGAGCGGTCAACGCCGAATCGGAACCCATATCGCGGGCGAGACGCCGGTCAGGACACTAAGAGTCCAGCACCCGAATATTCTTCGGGAAACTCGAAAAACGACGAAGAACCAGCGCCATCCTCAGATTCTTCTTCTGTGCTGGTCGCCATGCTAACGGCGGCATCAGCACAGTCGCGAGCTCAGTCTGATTTCGTGTCCGCGCACCTGTACTGGAAGACGCTGCAGCAGCTCAACGCTGTCACTGCAACGTCCCTACGTCGTGATGGATTTGCTATACTCTTGAATATCTTCTCGCGCGGCCCTCGAGATTCAATACGTCGATCTGCATCCGGAATTGAAGAGTACGATGCTTGGCTTGTTTGGCTCAAGCAAAGCCAGGAAAGGCACGAAGGTCTCATTGATGGCATGATGAGGCGCCTGCGGGCGCTCCGTGATAAGATGTGGTATGTCTCTGACGTCCGCACCTCAGCACCCTACGAACACACCCGCAACATTTGTGCAGCTTTAAAGACAATGGGTATGCCTCGTCGATGGGGTACATTTCAACGCAACAGGGCGCACTCGGCTCGCGGCACCGCCAATTATCTCTACCGCACCGAGTCACAGATCATGGATCTATTGTGCGCCTCAGAAGAGCAAGGTGGGCCGAATAAGCTCAGCGACGACCAAGCTGACAAGACATCCCGTTGGTTGGAGCAGGCTGACGTCACAAACTTCTGCCGCGGTGAGGAGAGAATCCACAGATTCTGCTGCGAGGTCGACACATGTATTTCCAAGCTCGTCGGCGAGTCCATTATGGATGGGCCTGTCCTATGGTCAAGCGAATTGTACCTGCGGGACCGCAAGACACTTGAAGGGTTCAAAAGCGGCCGCGATAGGGAGCCGGGCTGGGGCCATGGCGCAGACGATGGCGCAAGCATCATCAGCGAGCCAGAACGCAGGTTCAACATTCACGGCAGATCGGTTGCTATGCCCAGGGATCTTAGGAGCATGTCGACGCACAATGCAAGCCAGCAATCATTCGATTCAGGAAGCTATCGATTCTCAAAGGCCAGCACGGCTCTTTCAGATATCATAGACGGGCAGGACTATTTCGGCGCATCGTCGCCCGTTCACACTATTGACTCGAGCTCGACATTCTGGTCGCCCTTTCAGTCTGCCATCTCCCCAAGCACTGTGGCTTCGAGGGCACACTCGCCTACGACGAGCGTGACGAACCTGTCAAGCACATTCCATGCTCACAGCCAAAGTGGCCCCTCCTTCTCGGGCCAATCTACCGGACGACCTGGAACCTCAGCGTCATCAAATGAGACAGTTTATCAGCAGCGCCTGTCCGAGGAGAAGACACGGTTCTTTACCGATCTGCGGCAGACCCTGACCAGTCTCCTTCTTTCGGACCTGGGCAACTTCGTCTTTGCATCTGGCGCCGAGACTGATGTATGGTTTGAAAGCCTAGGCCAAGAGTGTATAGAACGACGGAATGCGCTCGACAGGCGGGCCAAAGGTCTACCGTCTACACGTGGTAAACTTTCGAAGGCCTCAGGAAAGCCACGCGTGATTGAGAAGAAAAAGAGCTGCGGGGATCTAAGGAATGCTGGGGAGACCGACAAGAGCCCCGAGACGACCGAGACTGCGAGCGTTCCGGGGACCGACAGTACGACCACACCAGTCGATACGGCCTCCACTCGCCATCGTCCCATATTGAAAGACAGCACACCCGAGTTCCCCTACAAGAAGGCGTATCAGCGCCTGTTGCGCATGTTCTGCGTCCATCCGAACCCGTATGCCAAGCTCAACGCTCTGTATGAGCTTGAGCAACTCATTCTCGCGTCCTTGGCCACGGGTGGGACAAAGCGATCACGGATGGGCTGGAACCCAGCCAGCCCGCACGTCCCTGATAATGACGGCAGTGGAGGATCCGGTCGGCCCACTCCGCTCGAGGATGACATGGATAATGTTAAGGAACGGCGCTCACATGCTCTGTTGCAGTCACCCGTTATTTCTCCAACGATTGCCGGATCGCTTCCTTTGCGATTTGGCAGTCTTGACACTCGGACCGTGGGAGTTCCAAATCTTCACACCGACGCTGTTGTAGACGTCTTGCGAACGCTCTTACGCGATGCCTCGATTCGACCCCAGACGCTTTTCAGGGACTTGCAATTCATCGCGGCTTTCGTTCATCCTGCTGTGCTCGACAAGACAGACAAAGGCAAAGCGTTTTGGGATACTGGGCTGGCCGCGCTTGGGCTCAAGTCAGAAGTGTGCAGGACGATGCTTGATGTGGCTGACGAGGTCCAGAAGGCCTACAGAAGCACGCAGGAGAGGGGCAAGGAACCCCACGCACAGAGTTCGGATTCGTTATCACAACCGAGCTCACCTGCTCCCGTAACAACGACTTACAGTCTGGCCGATGCAGGCAGAATGTGGACCGTTCTCGCCAAAGAAGGGGATACTGCCGCCCAACGTGAGCTTGCCCTCTTTTATCTCATGGACCCAGAATTGCTGGAGCGTACAACGCTGCCCCTTTCGAAGCCTCGCGAGGTGTTCAAGCAAGCCGTCATGGATAAGTATGGACGAGGTTCAAGGTCCGGCGCGAGGTTCTACCCCAGTGACAGGAGCCGATCTGGCACCACTGGCAATATATCAAGTTCGGGGCATGAGGGTGGAGCGGAAGAAGGAGCAACAGTGTGGAACGACCCGTCACTCATGTGTATCGCGATCCACTTCTTTCAAGCCGCCGAACAGGGAGGTGATGGTCCAGCCACGGCGTTCCTACAGCAGAACGACCTTGGCCTGAGCCGGTAACCATTGTTGCTTTCGTTGGTCATTTGCGCGACGGGAGTTGTTTGCTGTATATTTTCCTCAACATTTTTTAGGAGTTTTGGGGCTCACATATTGGGGTTTGTTTGGGACATGATATCACATAAACAGGAAATGATTCGAGAGATGGTCAAAGGGACCTCATCAGACACATGGAATCTACCGACCAGCTGAAGAGGGCTGGTCGGCTGGTAGCTATAGACGGCAGGTTTTGGGACTTTTTCTTCTTGCTGCTTCATTTCTGCATGCATTGGGTTCCGATAGGATAGGTCATGGAGGATATACCATTGTCACAGCACATCTTCGTCATATATGGCGTGTCTACATAGGGGTAGGACAAGCGCGCGGAGGCGAATCAAGTTACTTCAACAGGTGTTGGCACTGCAACTTGATCAAGCACATGGCATGATATGTCAAAAGAGAGAGCCTCGTCATGCGTGTTTGACATTGAAAGGTAAATCAAGTCCGATAGCACAGGCACGAACTATATCGGCACACAAGTATCCGTCGCGAAGAAGAGCGTTGAGCTCGAACCATCTAACATGCCACCCGTTTCACCCAAACCGCCCAAAATGCTTTGACCCAATGTTGAAAAGAGGGATACGCCCGATTCTGGAGCCCCATGCTTGCTGCCGACGCCGAAACACCATGAACGTGAGAGGGGCTGGGTGGGGGGTTTAGAAAAAAAGCCCCGCCCCTGGCCCAAAAGGGAGAGAAAACAACCCAAAAAAGAATGCCGAGTGTCTGTTTTCCTCGTAAACACGAGAACTGCCGATCAGGTCTTCTTGAGCCCCACGAGGCTGAGGAACTCGTTGCGCGTCTTGGACTTTGTCTCGAAGCAGCCGAGGACGCAGCTCGTGATGGTGCTGGCCGTCGTCTTTTGCACGCCGCGCATGACCATGCACAGGTGGCTCGACTCCATGACGACGGCGACGCCCTGGGGCTTGAGGACCTCCATGATGGCGTTGGCGACCTCCTTGGTCAGGCGCTCCTGGATCTGCAGGCGGCGGCTGAACATCTCGGCGATGCGGGGCAGCTTGGAGATGCCAATGACTTGGTTCTTCGGGATGTAGGCAATGTGCATCTGCAGCCGCGCGTGTGAGCTTCATTCTGGAGACATTGGGGACTTTAGGTAGGAAAGGGGGGATGGGGCTGGTTACCTTTCCGGTGAAGGGCACGAGGTGGTGCTCGCACAGGCTGAAGATCTCAATGTCCTTGACAATGACCATCTCGTTGTGGCCCTCCTGGAAGATGGCATTGTTTACAATGTCGCCGACGTTCTGCTGGTAGCCCTGGGTAAAGTCGAGCATGGCCTTGGCGTAACGCTTGGGTGTGTCGACGATGCCAGAGCGGTCGGGGTCCTCGCCGACGCACTCGAGAATGGTGCGAACGGCGGCCTGCATCTTCTGGAGGGCGCTCGGCGGCCTGGTCGGGGTTCTCCTCGAGACGTTCGCGCGTGCCTCGGGCTGTTGGGGGTTTCCCTAGCGAGTCAGTCAAGGTGTTTCACTTTTGGAACGAGAGAGAGAGAGAGAGAGAGAGCATGTCCAACGTACACGGGCGGCTGAGGCCGTCAAAGTCAATGACGGGACTGGGGGTGCGGACAGCGGGCTTGTCCTCCTCCTGCTCCTCCTGGAGCTTCTTCATTTTCCTGACGGTGATGTCCCGCGGGTCACGGGCCGGCTGGCTCAGGCTCGGCCGGCGCTTGGCTCCGCCGTTGGCGGCGCGGGCGTCGGCCTCGGCATGTCTGCGCCTCGACTTTTTTGAGCGCTTGCTGCTCTGGCTGGCGGTGTCGGCGTCGCTCGCCTCGGGGGAGGAGACGGCCGACTTGTGATGGTGGTGCTTGCGCTTCTTCGACTTGCTCGCCTTGCTCGAGTGGCTGCTCGCGGTCTCGGCGTCGCTGGCACTGTGAGGGGCGTCCGCCGCATCGCCGTGGCCGTGGCCGTGGTCGTTGTGCTTGCGACGCTGGCGCCTTTTCGGAGCTCGTGACTTCGGAGCCGGCCATTGCGTGGGTGAATTGACAGGGTCACGAGCGGGCGGCGTGGTTTGGAGACAGGCTGTCGGGAGGGAAGGGTCCGACTCGGAGGGGGAGGGGGATTGGGGAGTAGGGGAAAAAATGGAATCATGACCGGGCCAGGGACTGACTCTACTGGATCGCCGGTTAATGGCGGACGGTCTTATCTTATCAGTGGGGAA